GGCGTTCCTAAAAAGAGTCGCAAGCTACCAGCATGTGGTCCAAAATTAAACTCAGCCAACACGTAGAGAGCTAAAGGGACTCTACAACGAGCCAAGGTTCTATCACGTAGGCAACACTTTCGGAGGCTTTCCCTGTCTGCCCGGAACTGCATCTTCGTCCCTCGTTGGCATAGCTCCTGCAGGCTGCTTCATGCGACGTCTGATCAGCGTGCTAATCTGGAAGTGCATCTGCAGGCTGCGCACGCTCAGATTCGTGGCATCAACCTTTTGGGCAGTGCAGGGCTGAAGATGTGGCAGGAGGCTCTCATTAATCTCCATTTATTTGGACATTAAGCTTTCAGATTGACCTGCTAAATGTCGTGTCTCTTTTGTGGAAACAAATATGAATGTTCTTGTGCTATAATATCCTTATGAATCATTTATACCATGGCGTTTGCTTGTAAAGATTCACAATTTACGGGTATAGTAAATAGGCGTTCCCATTAAAAGCGTCATAGATTGTTATAATTTATTACAGCATAATCACAATTACAATAAATTTTACCTTTTTAATTTCACATTGATAGATATACGACCCGTCACGAGCATCAGTCCTTCTACACGCCCGATCTAACTCAAAAATCCCAGGGCTGGGCACATACAAATCCAAAACCGTCACCCCTCTTCGTTCGTTTTGAATTCGCAATGATCGCGATTTCTCTGCGTTACAGTCGTTGCCCTGCAGGAGAGGCACCGCAGAGTTTTTGTTGAGATAAAATCGCTGGTGTAAGTTATAGAGGCTTCATAGTCCCGCAGAATAAATTTAAAAAATGGTTAGGTTTCTTGATTGATCTTTAATGTGGCTCCATGTTTCGCGAGATAAAGTTGAGGCTCGAATGGTATTATAAAGAATAAAATCATTGAAAAGTTTTCCCTTAGTTACAATTATCCAGCTGCGTATAAAAGTGTCTCCAAATTGGTCGTCCATCCCTGTAAGATTTTAGTTTTTTAAATTTAATATAATATTCAAATTTCAACAATACACTGTTTTAAATGATAACCAACTAAAGGAACTCTGCTTAAAAAAATTTTCCACATGACGATATCTCGCGTACTGTAATCCAAATTTGTACATGGCAAACCGCGAAAAATGGTACTCAAAAATTAAATTCAGAACAACGGATTTTCATTTTTATTGATTGAAACACAATTTGTCCCACCAAGAGCTAAAACTGGTTAGATTGCTCATCCCACCGCGCGTGGTCTTGCTAGCTTCTCCCCACCGAGCGCGCAGAGGACGAATGGGTTTGTTGAAGTGATGTATTAAGGGGACCGTCTCGGTCCCGGAAAAACTTCTTCATTTAACAACCGATCTTTCTGAAATTTCACACACATACGTAAAAGGTAAAATAAAAAACAATTGCTCGTATGAATTTTTTGAAAAATGAAAGAAAACGTGAAATTAACAGAAAAGGGCAAAATGGGGGTACTTAAAAAAAGAACAACCTTAGCAAGTCACTTGTTACAATATCGAGGCACATTTTATTCGATTTTTTACAACATTATCTAGCGGCTTCAGAGCCTCAATTTTCGATTTTCCTAATGGTTTTTCGTTCATGCGCGTTTATTTTTCTTTTTCCACATTTCCCACCTCCCCACCCAAACTCCTCCCCCTATAGAAGTCAAACAATGCACAAGTTAGAAACGAGGCCCTAGAGTCACTAGGTCGCTAGGTATGGTCTTTACAAATCGAATGGTATGCAAAGAATCAGCTATAAAGAATAAATCAGCTTGAATACTGTAGTAGTTATTAAGTTTTTAAAATGGCGTTTTTTGGATATTTAAATTGTTCAAGGTTGCCAAATAAAGTAAAATTTATTTAAAAAAGAAGAATAAGCCAAAAAATTTTTCATATTGTAGCCCAAGCTTCCCCATCGCAAATTATTTGCATTTAGAGTTCCAGCACGATTCTTTAGACTTATTCCTGTCCAGTTTAACGTGAATAATAAGCTATAAATGGAACTTTTATGTATATATAAATAAAAAATTCATTTATATAAGTTCAAAACTGCACTGCGCAAAAATTATTGCATATACGTCCGTGATATTTGCTTTCTTGAACGCGCATCGCTTGTAGCTTTTAAACGAGGACAAACACTTAGCAATTAACGCTAATTATGATCTATAAATACAATTTTTATATGAAAATTTGTAGATATTGTAATAAAATGGCCATTTTATAAAAGTTCATAACTGCATTACGCAAAAATTATTGCATGTACATGCATGTAGTAGCTTTGTTGAACGCGTCTTGTTTATTGCTTTCAAACGAGTGCAAACACTCTGTAATTAACGAGAGAAATGATTTATATGTACAGATTTATTTCAAAGAAATTTTTATACATATTTTAAAAAATGTTCATTTTATAGATGTTTAAAATTGCTTTGCGCAAAAACTGGAGAACGAACATACATGCAGTTTGGTGCGTTAGACGCGACTTTCAGCAGCTACGAAATGAGATAAAAAAACGGAAAAGCCTAAATTTTCGATTTTTCACCGAGACGGTCCCCTTAATACATCCGCCTCAACAGCTACGCCAAACTTGTTTTCAATTATGGAAATAAATTAACATTATTAATGAAAAGCATGCTCTGGTCTTCAATTATGGAAATCTATCCTCTTATTTTGGGAAGGATCAAAACAGTGACATTCCACTTAGACTTCAATGTTGACATGAGCTTTTGTCGCGCGTATCCATGATACTCAAGGTGTCGGTAAATTCCCTGTTTCTGAAATACAATTCTTAGCGGTTGAATCATAAGACAATTCAGGACAGGGAGGGGATGAGTGGATAAGGAAATTGAGATGTGATCTTTAATTTGTTACGCTCAATTTAATCCAATAACGAAAAAATTTTGTTTCCGGGTTCAAACTGGGAATTAAAAATGGGGGTTCTGTGATAAGTATTGATTGCAACGGGGCATTTTTAAAAATTTGTTTGCATGTTTCCACATTTTCGATTGGATACGAAAGTAAAGCTGACGGTTTTTGAGACGACAAAACTAAATATGACAATCTGCATGATAACGGTATTTTTAAATTACAGAGATTATAATATTATGTATATTTCACGCAATGCCGGGTCACAGTGCTAGTTCAAAATTAGGCCTGCTCTACAATAATATTTCAGGCGATTTTCATTCCTATCTTTGTGCGTGACATGAAACTGAGCTAGCCGTTCATTTCTACCTGGAACCTATTGTGACCCGATGCACATACTAGCATACAGTAGGAGGTACAAATGACAAATTGATTTGTACTCATGCTCATATGTTGTACTCATGCTCATATGTTGTACTCATGCTCATATGTTGTACTCATGCTCATATGTTGTACTCATGCTCATATGTGCCACAATTAAAATGAATTTCAATCATATTCTTTTTTTATTTGGTTGAACATTTAACGCTGGAAAAATAGCGAAAACGATTTGTAAATACCTTTTAAAATAGCACCCGTGGAGTCGTTTTTCGAAGTTTCAATTCTAATTAAAAATGCGATATATAACTTTAAATCTCAGACATAATTTTATTGACTTAATTAATTAAAATTTTGGCTCTTTTAACTGAATATGAAAATTTTCAGAAGAATTCAGAAAGACTTCAGACTTCAGAAGCAATTTTTTTAGAATGTTTTATTATTCCAAGTTGTGTGTGATGAACGTATTGCAAATTTCATGTAATCATTTGCGAATATGTTGATTATCTATGCAATTAAAATAATTATACGTCAAACTTATCCCCTCACATGAATAATGTCGATAAATCAGCGAGGTCAGAAGGCAGATCGTGTCTACGTTTCACTTACTCGATGGCATGCAAATAATCCTCATCGCCAGTGTGGGCAAATTGAACGACTTTTTCTATGATATTTTTACCTGAACCGCAAGCTGAAATTAATCAACTTTTGCTATGGTATTCCTACCTAAATCTTTGCAGTCAGTTGGTAGTACACTAATACCGCCACCGGCCCGGACTCATAACAATCATATGCTAAACCTGCGACTGGTCGTGGCAAGTCGATCGTATATCAGGCCTACGAGCCGGCCTCTACCTCATAGTTTTTTGGTCTAGGTCGAAGGTATACATGTTTGCTGGTTAAGACTGAGCTATAAAAGCTGCGTTTTTAGATGAGTCTGCTCAGTACAGACACAGCAACGCTCCTTGTGTAGCCAAGTGCAGAACCCACACGAAGTGGACCACTTCGCTCTCTTTATATTTCTACGGTGATTTTTTAAAATATTCATCATTAAAAACATTCACAACATAAAAAAGGTCGACTTTGAAGATAACTGTTCGAATTTCCGCCATCTTTAATATGGTATCAATTCACTTATTTTTTGTAAATTAAATGCCTACTTTACTTACAAAATATCTAGAAACTGAATCTTTGACTCTGTAATTTGGTGTTGATTGTTAAAGGGGATAAAATCAAATTGTTAATTCTTTCGTCGTAATTTTTTTGAAAATGCGGCCCATGGCCAAATTAATACCGACCATAAAATTTTAATTTCAGGGATTAATTAAGATTAAATCTGTGAGGAAAATTTACAATGCGACGATCAGATATTCAAGCACCATTTAGGTCCCATATGTCCATAACCAATCACCAGACAATCACAATTTAATAAATCACAAGATAATCATCATTCAATCAATCACCATAAAATAATTATTCAAAAAATCATCAGACAATCATAAGTATATCAAAGTCAGTCAATCACCAATCAATTCACATTTAATTCATTTAGCACCGGCCATTTAGTGACGCAGCAATCACTTGTAATCAGAAACTATTATAAAAACTTGACGACTTGACCGCAAGTTCAAGTAAAAATCAAAAGACAAAATCGGAGATCAGAAACTGACGTCGTTTGCTGATCATTGTAACGAATCTTTAGCAAAATCTCATTATAAACTTGCAAAAGCTTCGCATGTGCTCCGTTGCAAATTGTGCTGAATCTCCATTCAGAGCATGTGGTGACAAGTACCTCAGAGTAAGAGATTCGGAGCATGAACAAGAAGTTATTGCTGCAGGCGAGAGCATTTGATCTTAATTATTTCTTTAACGATTGCTGTACCAACCGAATAAATAATTATTTGATTCTAATAAATTACCAGATACCTTCTAAAAAAATGTCATCCAAAAATCTGAAAATAAAGCATATGCTCAGCTAGAACCAATAGCAACGGTTTCTTGAATATTTTTGAAAATCCCTTCTATAAATGTAGGAACAGTTAGGATTAGAATAAAGTATCAATCATTTTCTTGAACAATATTCCCTGTAAATATGAACATGGTTTCTTTATTTTAATACGCACAGAAATATCGTGTGTCTTTTTATGTTCGGAATCGCTGATTTTTTGTGAGTCGTGTAATCGAGTGCGCAGTCGAGCGATCGCTCCATCAAATGAACTGAGAAAAGCAAGCAAAGTGCGAGGGAACGCCTTTATGACCCAAATTACACATAGCACTCGCGTAATCTTCAATATTTATATACTTTATACTGCATACATAACTTGTAATGCGCATATAACTTATTATACATGGATAACTTATGCCACCTTCACAACTTGCAATACATCAGTAACCTATATAATTAACGCTTACATAAATTATACCGCTTTCATAACTTAACTTATGAAAACTTAACTTAATAAAAACTTATACAACTTAACTCTTAAATTTCTTATACTGCTTGCACATCTCGAACCACTTATAGAACTTCACAATTTAGTAACTTACATCATATATATAACTTATATAACATTCTCATATCTTATAATACTTACATCACACAGCAAATGTAAGTATAGGAGCCTTGAGTTTGGACTCAGGGATTGACTCGATGTTAACAACGAGATCCTATTTTAAATCGCGTACGGAATAGTGAAGGCTTCATAATGCCAGATGCTCATGTTGCTAAGCTATAAAATATTGGATACTTTTAATTGTGCATTGTCGTAATATATTCTGAAAAAAACAAGCACAGGGCCTACATTTCAAAAAAAATTTAAGAGATAATAAGTTCACCAGCAAATCATTGACGGCCTTTCAAGCAAAATCCACCAATCATAGACAAGAAAATAGAGCGTAAGTACTTGCGCTCACTTAGCGAGTTTTGAAGGTATGGTATGGCCCCTGGATGTTTTGTTACTGCGATTTCAAATCAAGGACAGCGTTTGTGGCACCACCACCAAGATCTTTTGTGTCACCACCACCACCACCATTCTCCGTGTCAACACCACCACCACCATCCTTCGTGTCACCATCACCAATATTCTGCGTGTCACCAGTATCACCATCCTGCATGTGTGTCACCACCACCACCATCCTGTGTGTCACCACTCACCAGCTTATGCTTTCTGGATTACACGACGAGCGATAATGATTGGTAGTAACTGGGAATGACTCATTCCCAGAAGAGCCCCTTTGCTTAACTAACAAATTTTTCTCTGTAATGATAATTTTACTTCATCCCCCAATAACATCCTAGCCCACCTCTCCTCTTTTGTAACCCTTTTATTCTAAACCCTTTTCCCGACAGATGATTTCAGTGAAGATGTTGCTCCCAACGCTGCTGGTGGTGGTCGCTGCTGGCGCTGCTTTGGGTAGCCCGCAGCAGGCGACCTACGTCACCTACAGGAGGGAGGGCAAGGAGGAGCCTGCGTCGGTGAGTGGTAGTCTGCTGAGCCTGCTTCGTTAAGTTATAGTCTGCAGAGTTTACTCGGCTGATTTATTTAGTCTGCAACACCTGTTGCGGTGTGTGCTAGATTACAGGGTGGCCCAGTGGTTACAGTTCTACCAGGATTGGCGCAGAGAGGTGCGGGTGTGATCCCAGCTCTGCGCCCCAGTTTCTGGTTATAATCGGCAAGGAGGCCGGGCGGTTAAAGCAGAATTTGAATCAGTGAGTTGTGAGTTCGAGATCGCAACAAGCTGTGGATGTTCTGCCATGTTAAGAATCGGCGAAAGGCCTATGGCCTAATAAACGATGAAACCGCTATTATTATTATTATTATTATTATTATTATTATTATTATTATTATTATTATTATTAGATCATAGCCTTATGATTTATCTTGGTTAATCAATAGCAATTTTAATAAATATTCAAAACTTAGTTATTCTCGAGTTTAGCAATATATTGTTTATATTCCGTTCGAGATTCTGTTAAAATGCGAAGCATGAATATCAATAGCATTTCTATTAATCCTGGGAAGCGTGGATAATCTCACCAAAGTAAACGCTAAATGCAGTGATAATAGCGTGCTGCTTATAATGGTAACCTCATAAAATAAGGCAATAAGAGCGTGCTGCTCCTTAACAATTGCGAAGTAATTACAGAAGTACTATTCAGTACTGTAAGTACTGAATAATGATGATGGGCCATGATTTTCCGCTGAATTCCCGTAAATCTCAAGTTCAACGCTGATTAACAATTAATTTTAGCGTAGTCTGCATCGAGTTTTGAGGCTCGAACAAATAATTAAATTTGTTTTTAACTAAAAATAATTCACTTTTGGCAAAACATCTATGAAATAGAGTTAATCCGTGCGATCGAATTATTGCGATCATAGGCGAATTAATCTCAACAAATAGTTTTAATCACAATTGGCGTTATAAACAAAAAGTTTCCATCCTGTCTCAAGTTCTACGATGACGGTAGCAATGGATTTAAGCCATCCATTGCGACGGTATTATGGACTTAAATACCATTGATCGACTTAAAATTCAAATGATCCAGCTGGACGTTTATGTTGCCTTTCAAAATGATGTATTTTTTGTTTATGTGCGAATCTCATTCATTAATTGGACTAATACATCGCCTTTGATTTGAGGCTGGGCTATAATAGGGTGGATATAAATGTCTCCAGTCCAATTTTGTAGGTGAATACATTTCAGTAATGTTGATTGGATGCAATGTGAGGTATTGTACTCTCGAGAAAATTGAGCACTAAAGGGTATATTAAAAATATTTTCCCAGGTCCGAATAGTTAAGGTTGGAGTTTTCATATCTGACATTCATCATTCGTGTCTCTTCCTCCTTCAGAGCTACGCCTCCCACCAACCCACCTATGGTTCTCCAGCACCAGCACAACCAAGTCACGGTTCACAACCCACCAGCTATGGTGCGCCATCAACCAACTATGGTCCACCCACACAATCATATAAAGCTCAGCCCGCCGTGATGTATGCACTCATGCCTTCTGAAATGCCTAAGAAGGAAGAAGAAAAAAAAGAAGAAGATGACAAGAAGAAAAAACCTCAAACAAAAGAAGAAAAGAAATGCGCCATTAAAAAAGTAAGTAACAAATTTCCGGCAATGTTTTTTCGGTCAATGGTACTCTATTTGGGCCATAGAGCCATTCATTGTTTTGAGTGATAAATTCTTAGTTTCATCCTGCGTGACTGGTTCAGCTACGTGGGCCAAATCTGGGTACCCAATATTTCACTTGACTTAATAGTCCAAAAAGAAAGAACTTATGGTACGAAAACCAATTCTGAATAATCGTTTTTCGGAAACGAAGTATACATTTTCGCAAATCTGAATGTAATAAATTTACCAATTCGATCAATTTTACGTTGAGAATATCCGAACAAAATTGGACATACCGTGAGGAGGGATATAATTCACAAATGTACTTTTCCAAAAAGGCGCATTTCGCGCAGCCGTGTATTTCATTCATCGTTGATTTCATGCTCATGGTGAATATATGCTACGAATAGAATGATCGAATGAGTACTGTAACATTCAAAAAGAGGAATGAGTAATTAAAAGATTTATCTGAGCCACCAATTGGTGATGCGTGATTCTTGGCCATCTGAACCTCGGTAGAAAATTTTTCCTTGATTAATGTTATCGCTTCTCACCTTACCGGCCATAGGACAGACATCACTTTGATTTATAACGAGATAACTCATTTCAATAAATTCCCAGCCAAAACGCTACTACATTCTATTCTCATGCTACAGGTTCTACCGCCACTAATCCTCATCACCATCTTTATTGGGATGATCTTGCTGCAACTTTGGGCGCCGCGGCTCGTCGCGTCGCTCGTGAATCCAATCGTGAACCCTATCGCGGATGGCATCGACGCAATCGCAGCAAGCATCGCAGCAGGCAGGCAATCATCGTGGAATCAGAGAGCCGCTACTGACGATGTAAACATCGAGCCTGCGTTGAACGCAATCGACTCATTTTTACAGGTTGGTGCGGACGCATATGCGCTGAACGAGAAAGAAGATTATCCTCACCAACAAAATGAGAACAGTGGATGAAATGGGGCGTTAGGAACAGAAATGACACCGGAGACAAAATTCAGATTGGAAGTTTTAGATTATTAAAATATAAAGCCACATTTCCATGTAACTCAGCAAAAGTTTTCAGCATATCCAGTACTCCAGCATTAACAGTTTGAAAATAAAAATTGTGCCCAACGTGTCGTTGTTGTCGAATATTGTCGGTCAGAATCTAGAAAATTTCCCCAGCATGTTGTAGAAATTGAGCATTATCTGTCAGAAGCAATAAATTCTAACAAGCATATTGTGGGTGTGGGGCATTCTTCGTCATTATCTGCACCAACTTCTCTGCTCGTTGTATTGAACAAAAAAGGTATTAAGGCATAAAAAGGGGGCGCAGCCGAGAACAACAAATTTAACTCTTAAATAAGCCATGGAGCCAACGCACAGCCTCAGCATGCAGCAACTTCACACAGCCTCCGAGATAGAAGCCGCAGTCTACGCTGGAACACCGTAATACCCACCAGTAAAACCCTGCTTAAAGATAATCGCGCCGTAGGTCTTCAACCAAATCTTCAGCATACTCGCTCATACGCAGGCCGTTCTGCATCCGGCCTCACCTACTGTGGCCTAACCACTTCTGGCCTAACCTATTCACGATGCCCAGACTCACAACCTTCTTGCAGCCAATAACTGGCTCTACTTACTCACTTGCCTCTCTTTTTTAACCTCCAGCAACCAATGAGATTAGGTTAGGTGCGCTCATGTTCGTTTTGGGTGGAGAAATGTTGCAATGTTTGTAGGTTAGGCCAGAAGAGGCTGGCGGGAATAAGCTGGGCCAGATGCAATATGACCACGCTTAACTTGGGCATGCTTCAGCAGTGGCTGCAGACATACGGCGGTATGGTTTGAGAATTAGACTTCATTGGCTTCTATTCCCTCTAGCGTTCTTACCCACTGCGAGGAATATGATTACCTAAGTGTGTAGTTTGGCGAAGCTGGCATCCGGCACGCGCCCCAGAAAAAGCACTCATATTGCTTCAAGCCTTGATATCATTTTATCCATTTTTTGGCACCCAATTAATGACTCCATTTTGTTGATTGCTTTTTACATTATTGTTAATTATTTCTATGTTAAACCACGCAGTAAGCAGCAATCAGAATTTTTCAGTTGTATTACCTCCGCAGGTGTCAAGTTAGGATTTCAGCAGTTAAATGTAAGCTTTAATGTTCAGGTAATGTGAATATTATGCATTAAACCCTCACAGTTGACGGTACGCGTCACGGCCGTACTGTCGAATGAGACCTGCTTTGCGGCGATGCTGTGCGAGGCCGCCGCTACCGTTCCTCAACCCGACTTGTCGTCCAGGTGAGACTTGGCCACCGACGTCTCTCAACATACTTGTCGTCCAGGTGAGACTTGGCCATCGACGTCTCTCAACATACTTGTACGAGGTGAGACTTGGCCATCGACGTCTCTCAACATACTTGTACGAGGTGAGACTTGGCCATCGACGTCTCTCAACATACTTGTCGTCCAGGTGAGACTTGGCCACGACCCACATCACGAGTAGCGTTTGGTTGAAATCTGGTCAGCATCATTACGCATCCCTATTTATCGTACCGAATCAACACTACCGGTGACAATAATTTATAATTGTTGTCGATCAAAATAATACATCACAAACAAAATAACTTTAAACATTTAATTTTTGTCATTATCAACAGAATGCTGAAGTACGTGGTGCCGACTCGTTACCACAGCTACGTGAAGATATTAACTGGAGGAAAACAAAATTGCGTGAAGAAATATCCCTGTCCTGCCTGGTCTGAGCACTCCAACAGCATCTAACCACATCTAACGGGATACTCATTCACTAGATCCAGCTCTGTCTGGACCGAGCACATCAACCACATCTACCAGGACACTCATTCACCAGGTCCAGCTCTGTCTGGTTCGAGCATATCAACCACCTCTACCAGGACACTCATTCACCAGATCCAGCTCTGTCTGGACCGAGCACATCAACCACATCTACCAGGACACTCATTCACCAGATCCAGCTCTGTCTGGTCCGAGCACATCAACCACATCTACCAGGACACTCATTCACCAGATCCAGCTCTGTCTGGTTCGAGCACATCAATCACATCTACCAGGACACTCATTCACTAGCTTTTGCCATTTCTTGGACCAGATTCAGAGAATCATAGTGAGCTCGGACCAAATCACACCAACCTCCTTCTGCTACACGGCGTCGTAAGAAAGGCTGTTTGTATTTTCAATTACTTAATTAGTTACGTTCTATGGAGTAGTTTTGTATTATTATGCGATGACAAATGTAATGTAAAACGGAACTGGGAAAAAACATTTTTACAATCATATTTCTCATTTAAATTCATGAGAATATTTGGATTAATTTTTTATGCGACTTTTTGCATTACAATATTCAGTTGAGTCCACACAGGAATTTTTATTTCATTGTGAAAATACTCAATTGTTGGACAAGGTAATAGCCCGAATGAATTGTTGACTCTCCAGCAATATTCTCCTTCTTGGATCTGCTAGGACTCCCTAGCTTGGGACTAGGGATATGATAGGGCACCCAACGAGGTACCCTAGCAAGCTGCCTAGCTTGATGCCATGAGAACGCGTTTGTCATGACAACATTTACGCAACTTCGTCATTTTGGTGAAGGCATTTCAAGAAAAAGCTTCATGAATGATGTAAATCCGACGCAGTACTTGAAATTGAACTCGTACCTATTTAATTAGCTTAGACAGAGTATTTAATAATTTATTTGAATTATCATTAGCATAAGGCCTCATAAGGGGATTCAGCTCATTTTAATGTATATACATCCCTTTCATGACGATTACTCGAGAACGATGCCATAACCATTATTCCGTACAAACTTTGCATATCAACATTTACATTCACCCGAGGGCAGTTTGTAAGGCTGCATAAAATTTATCTTGCTAAAAAATCCCATGATTACAACACCAGTTCCGTACAACATTAGTTCAAGCGTATTTAAGGTGTATCTGCGACGTCAGTTTGTTCTGTAACTTCCAGCTGAATCATTTTTAGGAGCCGTATACTCCCAAGCTATTACAATGATTGTGAATTGTCAAATGATCATAGTTCCGTGTCCTACGTGCTCATCCCGCAGGATGAGCCTGAACTGGAATGGTTCTGTTGGTGGGATTATTGATATGGGACCAGGATATGGGATTCTGTACCTGGGATTGATTGCAGACACTCAGTCCTGGCTTGTAAGGTTGAATTGGCATTGCAATTTTTCCTTCGCAAATGTCTAATTGTGTTGGGCGAAATTTTATACTTTTTTATTTTATGATCAGGTTTATCATACATTTATTTGGCAAAGTAAGATAGTGTGTGAGGAATGGAACAAAAATGAAAATTGATTTTTAAATGGATGTGATTATATTTCAATTTTACAGACAAAAAAGTATTATTTTTTTCAAGATTTTGAATGATATAGTCAAATACAAGTTTTGTGTTTCATGCAAAATATGGGAATTCAAGAGCTATTTATAATAATAATTCATTGGTTTTATTATTACTAAATGCGTTCAAGACAACAGAAATGACGGAATACGGTTTAACATATGATTCTTAAATAGCAGGCATTAACCAGCCAGTACTGCATCTTATTAAGTGGTTTATAGAATTGCAAAAATATAAAAACTTCAAGACAAAGAGAATCTATAACACCACATGCAAGAGTTATTACATCGAGAATCAAAGAGAATCTATAACACCACATCGCCATGCAAGAGTTGTTACCCGCGTATTAAATGTCGGCCAGTATCAAATAGAACGTTCGCACATGTTTATTCCTGAACCTGATAAATGAATGTAATTCATTATTTCATCATTCAAATTTATGTTATAAAAGCTATATGTTCCAAGTTGTTCTTTCATAACCCACACTACCATATTTGCCTATTTCAGAAACATTTCGACAAAATAGTCTATCTAGTATCTGAAATATTGTTATTATCTGTAAAAGTTTATTGGTTCTATCATCGCTGTGTTAGATACCTTGCACCGAAAATATATTGGTGCTGTTCAGGTCGGATGATCAGGATGATTGCTTCCTGATGATTTTTCCAACTGTACTCAATGATAGATCAGGCTCCTTGGATATTATTCGATACCCCTTCCGTTTCTTGTGACAATCTATGATCTTTTGACGCAAGTCTGTCGCCAACTCTCGAGTTTTAGCAATTTAAAATTAGATTTTAAAGACGAAGCTGAATAATATCTTCACCGGAACACAAAATCTCGTAAACAATAGCAAACTGCTCTGATTGGCCAATTAGATAACGTTATGAGGTTAGTGGAACGTCTGAAGTGAAAAGCGAATTTTGAGTACTTCAAAAAAGTTATATTTGTTTATTTTTGAACATGTACCCAATACTTTTGCGTGGGTTAATTTTTCTATTTGTTGAATAAAATCTAAACAATGCATAATTTTCAATATCCTTTCTATATAATGTTTCTAGCACCATTAGCAATATACTGACCAAATATTATAAAAAAATCTCGCACTTTAACTTGAGATATGATGAAAATTGCAATGTATCTAATACTTTCGCGAGCCACTGTACATGAGCGTGATGATACAATCAAGATATCCTTAAGTTTAGGCCGTCAGGAGGCGGGAAAGTGGTTAGTTCATCATATTTCTGCGAAAGCTAAGGATCACTGGTAGATGCTATAACGACCTTCGCTAAGAGGTCAGGAGCGTTAACTTAACTGCCATAAACGAGGTTAAATATTACGTGATTTGTGTCCGGAGGCACGTTCATGCGCCTCCAGCCTTGGTACTTATTTATACCTGAACCTGAGGACAAGGATTTGTTGACTAAGTTCGTGAGGGATAAGTAAGAATCCATCCGTTTATACAACTTATTCTGCTACGGAGTGATAATATATGAGAGATACGATACAGGTAAAGCTACACCGTCGATCGTTAGGTGGGAGTACCTCTAACGCTAGTTACATTGTGGCGTGCGCACTTGTCAGCTTTTTTGGGGGGGCGGGGGGCTTTACTAAGGTTCCCAGCACATTTGGGGGGCGCAGCCATAGGCCACAAATTTTACTCTTCAATAAGCCCTGGTGTCACGTTCATTTCAACGTGTAAAAATAGTATCAATATATCGTTGACCGAGGAGCTCGAGATGGTGACTTTAAACTGTAGAGTAAATATAATGTTAAATGTGTATCGTAGTATGCAAATTATCGAATTGCCTGCTAATTCCGGAAAATTCAAGTCCGGCAGCGGCGACGCACCCTATGCGCGCGCAGTTGAAGTTTGGAACGGCAACGAGGGAAGCTGTGCCAAATTTATTTCTGTGTTTCTATGTGTTAAATGTGAAATATGTGTATTTACTGGGTGATTGAAATTTTATGAACGAGCAGAAACTGTTTGTGAGAATATCAGTGATTACTTTTTATTCCTGAAGCTGTTGTGTGAAGTTGTACGTCACTTAGTCAAGATGAGCGCATCTAAGTCAGCGGCATATCACAGAATGTCCGTTATATTTGAATTATTTGTTCAATACATTAGTGTTTGATTTTAATTAACTTAGTAAATCAACCAATACAGCGTCATCTCAAGGCGATAATTGTCGTGAGCTAGATCTAGTAGTTTCTGTTCTGCCCTAAAAAATAGAAATCTTGTGGAGAATGCTTTGTAATGGCTAGTTGCCACAGATGATCATTTAATCATTGCAAATTGATTTGGCTTCTTTTTTAAGCTAATGCGTGTCAAGTGTGCCTTGGTTGTATGGAAATATCGTCGATTTGAGAATGAATGGGATTGTCAGAAAAGCTGCTGCGCTACATGAAAGCAATTGTAGCGGTAGCTGTAGCTCCCGCTACATATTAAGTAGCGATACGATGTTTTGCCGCTACAGCGCTACCGCTACAGTTATAGATAAAGCCTTTAGATTTTACTTAATAGTATTAAATATTATTTAAAAACCAGCATGATACATACATAATATAAATTACAGAATAAAACTGTACGAAAGATTTCGTTGTAATGTTGTCAACCTCAGCATGTTACTAGTGTCAACATGTTGGTTGTTACCAGAGGTGGGCAGTAGCGCGCTACATATAGCGGCCGCTACTAGCGACTGCTACATTTTCAGTAGCGGTAGCGGCGCTACAGTTAAGCAATTGTAGCGGTAGCAATAGCGGTAGCGGCCGCTACATTTCAAAGTAGCGCTGCCCAGCTCTGCCAATAAGGTTAGGTTAGGTCCGCTCAGATTTGTTTTGGGTGGAGAAAGGCTGCAGCTCGTATAGGTTCAGCCTGAAGAGGTTAGGCCAAAGGAGGTTTGGCCAGATGCAGTATGGCCATGTTTACCTTTGGCAAGCTTATTTTGTGGCTGTTCGGCGCTATGGTTTTGAGCACTTGACTTCATAGGCCGTTAGGCACTCTAGCGTTCTTACCAACGGACAGAGCTGGGCAGCGCTACTTTGAAATGTAGCGGCGCTACCGCTACCGCTACATGCTCTAAATGTAGCGGGCGCTACCGCTACACCCACTATAGATTGTAGTGAGCGCTACCGCTACAGTAAAATGTAGCGCCGCTACATTAGCCGCTACAATGGCCAAAATTATTGGAAATCTCTGAATATTTATTGTTCTGCTATTGGGATTTACTCATAAACATTTAATGATAATAAAATATTTTCAAAACGTATCAATGCAAATTTATTGCAATTAACCTAACCGAACTAGTACGGGTTAGAGACAGTAAATAAAAGTTACAGTTACTTTTATGTTTTACCTTCACTACATGGATGTCTACTGTAATCTACCAATCTCAAAAATTATCCACATATACATATAAAAAAACAGTCTTTTATTTGTATATATATGTGGATTATTTTTGAGATTGGTAGATTAAAGTAGACATCCATGTAGGGAAGGTGAAGCATAGAAATAACAGTAAAAAAATTGTAAGCAAACTGAAACATGAAAAAATACCTGTAATTGGTAACGTAACAACAAGAGGAGCGTCTGGGCAAAATTTTTGAATTTGGGCTTTTCTGGTTTTTAGTCTCATCTTAAAGCTGACATTCTGCTCTATCCAACGGGACCAAAATCATCTCTGTACGTTGATTTATGCGTTCAGGACAGATCATGAAAGGGGGGAGGGTGGGGGAGTTCTTTAACAAATTAGATAGGAGGTAATTCGGTTCCCAGCACTTGAATACAGTGTTAAATACAGTGTCTGCTTGAGGTGCAGCTTAGTTACCCGTTTAGTCTCATCTTAAAGCTGACATTCTGCCCTATTCAACGGTACCATTACCATTGTACGTTGATTTATGCGTTCAGGACAGATCATGAAAGGGGGAGGGTGGGGGAGTTCTTTAAAAAATTAGATAGGAGTTAATTCGGTTCATAGCACTTTAAATACAGTGCCTGCTTGAGGAACAGCTCAGTAATCCGCCTGGCTTCGCACGATGAGGTGTGCATGCAGTCGCTCCACCATCCTTGAGTGGAATCGAGCTCCAGTAACGTTTAGTTTTGTATCCTTGCTACATTGAGTGCCTATTGCAATGCGCGCGGGACTTTGTCGGGCTGTACTGAACATTCGCACTTATTGTCACGGCAAACCTATCTCCTTAGTATCCTTAGTATTTGTTTGGGACATAGCAGTCCCAGGCCACGATGGATCTCCAACAGTTTTGAAGCTACAACAATGAGACATATACCATTCGATTTGCAATTAAAATATCTATCGATTTATCTTGGCATTTTTTCAATTTCGTTATAGTTTTGAAAATATTTTGAAATAAGGGGGGAGAAATAGGGGAAAATCGAAAAAAACTTCGAAAATTTTGCGAAAAATGCTCCCCCATCCACCAAATTCGAATTTCGAAAAACGCCAAGATAAATCGATAGATATGGTTTTTACGCATCGAATAATATGTGTCTCAATGTTGTAGCTTGGAAATCCTAGGAGGAGATAGATTTCTACAGTACCCCCTTTTTTGGTCGTTTTCCAAGAATTTCACGTTTTCTTTCATTTTTTCGAAAATGGACATGATTAAAAGCTGTCTATTTTTTGGTTTTACAATGGTGTACCAAGTTTCAAAGTGATCCATCTGTAAACAGCCGAAAAAAAGTGGCCAGACGCTCCCCTTAACAAGTAACAACTAACATGTTGACACTAGTAACAGGCTGAGGTTGACAACATTACACCGAAATCTTTCGTACAGTTTTATTCTGTAATTTATATTATGGAGGTATCATGCTGGTTTTTAAATAATATTTAATACTATTGAGTAAAATCTAAAGGCTTTATCTCTGATTGTAGCGGTAGCGCTGTTGCGGCAAAACCTCGTATCGCTACTTAAAAATGTAGCGGGCGCTACCGCTACCGCTGGAATTGCTTAAATGTAGCGCCGCTACCGCTACCGCTACATTTAGCGCGCTACTGCCCACCTTTGTCAACGGAAAGGAATATGAACTAAGTGTGAAGTTTGGCAAAGCTGGCCTCCGGCATGCGGCCCCCCCCCCCATTTGTAGAATTCGGACTTCCGTCCACCGGGTTCTTGTCTTCGTGACACATAAGCTGTACAAGCTGTCAACTAAGCGCCTGAAGCAAGCTCTCACTGACACAGTGGACTCATAGTTAACTAGGTCTGCTGTTCGACACATGAGGATTTGTATTCAATAACTACTCTATGACATTAATCAAGGATTCATGTGAAGTGCCGACGAGTGTCAGAAAATAAATGAAGCTGAAGGGACACTTAATGAAAGCTCGAGGTCACATTAAGTGCTTTATTTAAATCCGGAATATCCGTTACAGAAACTGGGCTGGAATAAATAGAGTATAAAATAATAAATAAGAACACGCGAAGAACATTAGAATGCTGCTCATGAGCATCCACACGGCAACTCTCACTTTAAATGATTCGGAAGCTCTGTGAGAGACTCAAGTTTTTCTTCAAGTTGGAAGTATAATATTTGATTAACGCACACGTACATAATGTTAGATTCACGCACGCGTCCACAATATTAGATTAACGAACGCATAAATATTATTAGTTTAACGCACGTGTACATAATATTAGGCTAACGCACGTGGACGAGCCACAACCAACGGCAAACGGAAGAATGCGTACATCACGGGAACATTGAGCGGCCGAGGATCAAATATGTCAAATGTGCGTCAAATATTGAGCCTTTTCTTTGGGATAAAACAAGTGAAACTTTTCAAAAGTAGCAATTCAGAACGAAGTAATAATTTTATAATCGTTGTGGCTGTAATTTGAAACTATAAGTATCATTGATGGAAGATGTCGTCGACCATTATTGATATAAAGTAAATTTAAATCAATTCCTAACTATGACTCCTAAATGTGAGCGTGCCTTTACATGACAAACATCAAGCTCAATGATAACAACCAAGTACTGTCCTTTCAAGTCCTGCCTCCTTGTTGGCAAGGGGGGCCATGTCTATAATGCCTATTGCAAAAAGAGATATTTTATTCTATCTTATATATATACAATGGATGATGGAACGTCACAGTTGCTCAGCAATGTCTCGTAAGATTTACGCTGGGGAGTTTTAAGAGCATTTCCATTGGGAACATGATGAAGAATTATGTAACTATACGCTAAACATTTGGAATCTCTTCAAAATCGTAATAATGTAATAAAAACGTTTAGTCACGGACATGCGACGAATTATCTATCGGGTCGCTTAATATTGAAATACAACGATCAGACATAACTTCATAAAATCACCATGTACGTTATAAAAATGTCGTGTCCATGCCAAATCTAAAGCGATGAGCATTCCATCTACACATATATCAACGACAACAATAAAATTTAAAAATAGGTAACAATTTCTTCTCATAACTAAGGTAACAATCGTAATGATCAGGACTTAGGCATAAAGTATTTCAATCCAAGACTTCCCTAACTTACAAAAATTCGGTATTTAGATTCAAACTCCTTATCTTCACCGAGCTCTGAGAGGCAATGAAGAGGAGTCGATTTTCAAACGAGTGGGAATTTTTTTCTCCTTAATAGACTTCGAGATGATGAAAAATGAAATGAATGGGAATCATATTCTCTAGTCAATAACATAATTTAGCCTTGCAGCATTAACGTATGTTGAACTTCAATGCTTCAAAATTCAATGAAAGTGAAATTATCGCTTTGTGGATACCAAACTCTGCTTCGTTGGAAATTGTCCAGTACAGGAATTTTGCCTTTCATATGCCGAACTCACGATGACCAGTGCATCTTTTTTCAAATATTTCCCTATAATTTTTTTCGCTCAAAGAGTGGACAGTTTTTAAATTTTATAATCTTTCCCGGTGATCAATGGAGACAAGTATGTGTTTGATTGTTCGCGAAGCTTGGGTTGTTAAAGCTACAGAAGCGTTGCAGCTGAAGTCTCAGTTAGTCGAGCCCTGCCGTCTGCGGAAGAGGGGGCAGTTGTAGAGACCGCAGTCCGTCTTCTGCAGCACCGAGTGTTTGAAGGTGCGGTAGTAGCTGTTGTCCGCAATGTTCTCCTCCGGCAGAATGTATTCCAAGAGGCTGCAATATGGCACCAAGTAAATAAACACAGCATTCATAATATGAATAAACTTATGAGTAATCTAAACAACCCGATTGTTTAGAATCAGGCATTATGAAATCACGTTGATACATAATTCAAAAATGAAAAATCTTCGTCTAAAAATTGCTGACATTTAATCATAAAGTTCAATTTGTTTAAATATTTTAAAAAAATATATTGTAATTCGCAACCGTACGTTTGGCAACATTGAGACCTTATGCTTGGTTACTTACAAGTGCATATTGTCATACTCGCGCCCGTACGAGCCGAGTTGACAAGCGAAGTACTCGATGCACTCGTCCTGCGTGACCACGTTAGAGACCTGGCACAAGTACTCTATTAATACAATTATTACAATGGACATATTGTATTCTACTCTGTGATAACAACCGTTCACTGACGCATCGGCATATAAAGAGAAGTTAGCAGGCCTTTTATTTAGCATGTTCAAGAATTTATGCAAATTCGGAGCTCGCCGCTCAGACTTAATTAGTGACAATGACAATCGTACTTTTTTGTAGCCATTAAATTAACAATTTATAACGAATATTAAGAAGGTAATTTTTGTTGACACTGCGCATGAACACGAGAGACGCATATCTCAATTGCCCCATAGTTTATTATTCGTCAGTAGAAACACAAGATACGTGCGTCACGAACAGCCTCAATATCTTAATTCGTCAGAATAAACGTTATTCGTTTTATTCACTGTTATTAACACAAGAGACGTGTGCGTCACTAATAGCCTCAACATCTTCATTCATCAGAATATACGTTATTCGTTTTGTTCACTCTTATTAACACAAGAGACGTACGTCATCATGAGTAAAAGGAACTAAATACATTATCGGGACAGAGCTCACCTCGTTGACAGCGTCCCAGGGAACATACTGGGACGCTCTGGAGACGAGGGACCGGGCGTAGAGGCCGTAGCTGTCGTCATAGTCGTTGTATTCGTAGTCCTCTCCGTAGCCGAAGTAATCCATCATGGCGTTCCAGGGGTACATCATGGGCTCGAACAGCTTCTTCATCTGTCACAACAATGCGCTATTTTAATGATATATTTAACAATGCGTAGTTTTAATGATTGATTTAACAATGCGTTATTTTAATGATTGATTTAACAATGCGTTATTTTAATGATTGATTTAACAATGCGTTGTTTTAATGATTGATTTAACAATGCGTTGTTTTAATGATTGATTTAACAATGCGTTGTTTTAATGATTGATTTCACAATGCGTTGTTTTAATGATGAATTTAACAAAGCGTTATTTTAATGATGGATTTAACATTGCGTTGTTCTACCGATGGATTTTGGGTAATGGTGTTTAAATGCAATTATTGTTTTGGCAGTGCAACTGAAAGTCAATGGTTTTGTACAATCCAATTTAAATCCGATGATATTATTCACTTGAAACCTAGAATAGCTTATTAATCTGTTTCAGAGATGCATTATTCTTCTCTTGGAATTTAGGAAATGGTGTTGAAACTTAATTGTTTCGGCCAATGCAGTAAAATTGAATTTTTTGCATTCAGTTGAGAGGCGATGAAAGTGAGAAATACAATTAAAAGGCAATAAAATTTGCCAATGCAAAACAAATGCAATGGTTTTCTTGCAATACAAATCGAATTCAATGGTTTTGGGCAATGCAATTCAACAGCAGTGGTTTCTGCATCTGTTCGGTATGCGCCATGTGCCTTAAATTTATTGTGCACTGAAAGGATCCAGGCTTCAAACACTGTTTTCTTGAAATTCAGGGGGCTTCACTTGAGAAAAAATCGCTGTTATCATATCATTTTGAGAAAAAGCTCACGAATAATATTTTAATGTTACACGTACATATTCGTCTCCCCATCTCCCCCACCTCATTCACCTGCCCCATCATATCCATATTTTCTTACCTTATTCATCTCCTCTACCATATCCATCCTTCCCAGCGTATCCATCTCCCCCACCGTATTTATTTCTCCCAACGTATCCATCCCCCTCACCGCATCCATCTCCCCACCGTATTTACCTCTCCCACCTTATTTATTTCTCACACCGTATCCATCTCCCCCACCGTATTTATTTCTCCCACCGTATCCATCTCTCCCACCTCCGTATCCATCCCCCTCACCGCATCCATCTCCCCACCGTATTTACCTCTCCCACCGTATTTATTTCTCCCACCGTATCCATCTCTCCCACCGTATTTATTTCTCCCACCGTATCCATCTCTCCCACCGTATCCATCTCTCCCGCCATATCTAGTTCTCCCACCGTATTTATCTCTCCCACCGTATTTATTTCTTCCACATTATCCATCTCTCCCACCATATCCATCGCCACCACCCCATCCATCCACCCCACCTTATCCATGAATCCCTTCTCCTTCTTCTTGTCGTCCTCGGCCTGTACGGGGTAGTAGTAGTAGTAATATCCCGTCTGCTTCTCAGGGGCGCCGTAGCCTTGCTGCACGGGCGGCGCGCCGTAGCTGCTGCCGCCGATGTGGTTGCTGATGGCGTGACCACCGCCATGACCGCCGCCGAGGCCACCACCGTAACCTGGTGGACAGCATAACCAAATGAGGGAACGTGTCATTAAGGGGAGCGTCTGGGTCCAAAATCGACAATTTTGGCTTCTCCGGTTTTTCCCGAAAAATGATTAGCTGCAAAAGTTTGAAGCGTTCATTTTACCGTTGTCTGAAACAATTTGTGATTTGTGTGATATTTGAAGTTAATTTTCAGTAAACAGTCCGTGATTTACAGCAAGAGCAGCTGACAAAATTTTGAATTACATATAATGAAGTCCGTATATTGAATTAAAATAATAAAGAGACGGCTTTTATGCGAGTAAGCTTTGTCTTTTGACTCTCCACCATCAACGCAGTTATCTATAGTTAAGGTTCATCAGCATTGTACTAAACTTTAGCTATTTGCCAACACAATTGTATTGTTCTCATATATTTAGTTTATTGCTTGTAGCCTAACAGATACACTCATCTGATGTTCCTGGTAGCTGATGAACAGACTTTTCAATTCTCAAACTTCGAAGCTAATGTTCTTTTAAGGGCCAGATTTGAAAAATCGTGAACCAACCTCCACCACCAGCTCCGTGACCTGAAGACGGGAATCCTTTGCTTTGTCCTCCAAAGCCTCCGCCGCCATGACCTCCTGAGGCTCCGAATCCTTTGCTATGTCCGCCGCCGTGGCTACCAGAAGCTCCAAAGCCTCCACCGTGTCCACCATGTCCACCATGTCCACCACCATGACCACCATGACCACCGACGAAGCTGTTAGGTGCCGTAGCATACGAGGATGTTCCGACGGACGAGAACGAGCTCGCGTGGCTCTGAGGACAAGTGGGAAGAAAGTTACAAATGCAACTCAGAAAAATGTCGAAGTAAAACTATTCAAGTTGTCTAGATGAATGAAAATACCCGTCTTTTTGTTTCACAGCAAATTAACTGGGAAGCCCTAAATTTTTTGTTCATGTCTCATTTTTACGAATTAAAAATATGCAGCAAACTTTAATAAATTGATTCACATTAACTCTGCAGGCTACATAATCTTGAAAATTTTTTTTTAATAACAAATTTAAGTTAAAAACTCACGCCTCCTCCATGATGGGCGCCGTCCCTCTTCTGTAACGGGTCGGGGGGCGATGGGTTGATGTGGGGGGCATCGGGCACTGCCCTCGCCTCAGCGGGCACCTCCTGTTTCTCCACGGGCGTGGAGGCAGCGAGCGCCGCCAATGACACCACCGTCAGCAGAACGTACGAGGTCCTCATCATGTGTTGGTGGATCTGATGGACAACGAGATATTCTTTACTGCGTTCTTCGCTAAACCAAGATTCTGGTCTGAATTATTGTGCGAACCTCCGTCAACAAAAAACAGGCTGAAAATAGAGCAATCTTGAACGATGTTTGAGGCACGCATGTTCGCTTGCGTGACACCGACAAGATGACTCATTAGATTAGATGACTCCCCCACATTAAACCATATTATTAAACCCCTATTAATAAGACCATACATTCCCCTACTTAATTTTCTGCTTTGACGTACAGATGCAGTACATACGCTCGGTAGGCTGTAATAATGTACGCTCTGTAGGCTTTGACGTACAAATAGTGCATAAATGGTTAACATTAACACTAGCAGTTAGCCATGTGAAGCGCAATAGCATGAGGAGTTACATATGCAGTAACAATTGCAGCAGCGTAAACAGCAGGAACAGCAATAGCGACAGCAACTGAAATAGCAGAAGCAACAACATCAATATAAATTACAGTTGCAATAGCAACAGCAACAACAGCAATTGGAGGCGGCTGTCTTAATGCAGTTGTAGACAATACCGGTAGTTTAATTAACAATCTTGTTGAATGTGGAAACAAAAACTACAAGCGCATAATATTCTATATCAATTTCTAAAAAAAAAATTCAAATTCAAATACGATTTTCAGGAAAATATCCTAATTCCATTGCAATTTCCCGAAAAAAACATTCAAAGTCATTCAAATTTCCAGAAAACACATCACATTTCAAAGAAATTCATTATAACACCGACACGAATTCCAGTAAAGCCATTCCAATTCCATTTTTAAGTCTTTCCGATTCCATCACAATTTCCAGGAAAAACTCTCCAATTTCATTACAATTTACGAGTCTTTGTCTTGAGCTGCCTCGAAAAGAAGTTCAGGCTTTCACTTCTGCGTCCGGTAACCTGGCAAATTTGCGGACTGTACAAGGTACATGTAATTGTTCGGCGCTGCACGCAAACCGCGGAAGTTTATGCACAAGTTGTTCTTGTGGTGAGCACGGGTAACTGGGACACACAGGGGCCGGGACGAATCGGGGGCGGGATACATTGGGACCGAGTGCACATAGGAGCCGGGACACAACAGGGCCGAGAAAAACTGGGACCAAGACACATCAGAGCCATCACACACAGGGGCCGGGGCACAAGCAGGGACACATTGGAGCCGGGACATATCAGAACTGGGACACATCAGGCCTGGAACACATCGGGACAGTGACACATCGGGGCCTAGACACACGGTGACCGGGACACACAGGGGCCGGATCACGCTGGGCCGGGACAAAACTGGGTCGGCAGGATACGTCAAGTGTCAGTGGGACATTGGGGCTAGCACTGAACTCCTTTCCTCCTGTAGACCAAGAAAGCGGGACGCTTTTGTTTGTATTCTGCGACGATAAAATTCCGATACTCTTCATCAATGACAAACGTCATTATTTCGTGTTTAATGTTAAATTTAGTAGTTTCGTTGTGACAACAGAGCATCATTACTTGACCATTCTAATAACAATTCGTCTGAATTGTTTACGTGTAACGAACGTAAGTTCGTGTTTCACACGTTCGTATAAGGTAGTGTATTGTTTTTAAATATGAGCGTAAGGCTTGGTATACATGGTAGTACAAGTTGGAACTTAGCAACGTAAGTACCTAAGCGTCCGCACTCCATGAGTTATACTTTCACAGTGGAATAACATGATTATCATCAGAAGATTATTCTATTTTTGGAAGATTTAAAAAGATTTTCCTCTTCCTTAAAACATGAGTATTAACAAACAATTTTTATGTACAGACACTTGCCCCATAACGTCGCCTGACAATGTGTTGGGAGTGCCGAAGCGGTTTCGTTATTCCAGAGCTTTCGCGTAGATATGTAGTCGAGCTAATTAATTTACTGTCATTAAAGTCAATAAACATTATGAAATAATTCCGGACAACTTTACGCAGCCTTCTACTGATTAATTTCTCGATGATATTGCCATTATTTTGCTTCTGTAAATTTGAGAACTTTAATTATTACTTCATATCCAACATAATAACAACCCACGCCTCTCGATTACTTTACGTGAGCGCTGCCTCCGTTAATTGGAGTCACTACACTATACACTTTATTATATTATATTTTAATGTATTGTATTGCATTTTATAATTTATATTATGATTGAAACCTCCGACTCTGGCGATGTCGGAGGTCTCAATCAATGATCAATGGCAAAATTTTATGTTATTTTGAAAGATGTCACGCGCTCTTTTTTTGAACGACGAGACAGTGCGAGCTCGTGCAGCTCATGAAATCATATCCATATTATCATGAAACTGCCTTGCGATGGATATAATTTCCATGCGATGGATTTGCGATCCATGGATATTATCCATCATATCCATGCGATGTATATGACCTGCTATCTCTACTTTACTGTCAATGCACGACATACAATCCATACAGGAAACAGCCAAGTCGATCTTAGAATAGGAACGATGCATTCAAAATAAATACGAAAAGATTCCAAAATATTATTAAAAAACTTTAATAAGGAATTTTTAAGTATATGTTTTCCGGCTCTGATGTGTAGAGGGGTCGAGTTTGATCAACATTAATGTCCACAAAGATGAATTAATGGATAATTTTTATCCAAAAAGTGACACACTTTCTACATGCAGCATTGCAAAACCTAATGCCTCTCTGCCTACCCATACTGGTTCAGGATGACCCAAAGAAGAACAAAAAATGTAACTCAGTACTACTGCAGTGAGTGACAGAGAGCGCATTTTCTCGTCGACGAAAACTTGAGGTCACGGATTGACAGACGGACAGACAGACAGACAGACGGACATGGCGAGCACAATAGTGCATTTTTTCCATAAATGAGAAAATGCGCTAAAAATGTAACTCAGTAGTCACTGCAGTGAGTGACAGAGAGCGCATTTTCTCGTCGACGAAAACGTCAAGTCACGGACAGACGGACGGACAGACAGACGGACAGCCAGACGGACATGACGAGCACAATATTGCATTTTTCCATAAATGAGAAAATGCGCTAAAAAGTGCACCGCTTTTCGTACAATGTTCCCCTCAGTTCAGTGAGTGTAAGCCGCTGCGGCAGGCGGAGGTCGCTGCTGCTGCCGGAGTAGAAAGCGGTGGTCGGGAAAGGCCGAGCCGAAGCGACCAGCAGGATTCAGCAATAAGGAACTTTCTAAACAAGATACAAACGCCTCTTGTAGGCGCACTTGCGTAAGGAATTGCTACGCGTTATTAAAGTTTAATGAACACACGTCATCTGAGTTCAGGGCTTGTGAACAGGTAACACTTAATTCTAATGGCCAGATTCTCTTGAGAGTTTTTATCTTATCAAGTACTCACTTTATATAAGGAAATTGCGCGAATATACTTAGTATTTAAAGTACCGCCTACCCAAAAAAGATGCATTTAAATTGATGAAAATTAAATTTCCAGCGGATGGTTTCTTCTTGAACACGGCTTTTAAGCGAAAATTATTTCCAAGATAATTATGATTACTAAATTTTACTGATTCCTCAAATTGCTTTATAAAAGTTTATCTTACATCGAGCGTTGAACGAGGTCAAGCAGGATAAAAATGTTTGCGAAGCCAAAATTCGAATTTTAAAACTACATTTTTTCTCGTCGTTGTAGCCTGGGTACTCATTATATTCATGATATTTGCTCTGCACTTATCACTGCATAGAATGTAGCTAATCGAAAGTTAAATATTAGCGCTGGACTATAGACGCAAAATATTCAAAAGTGCGAACACGTAATTTATTGTTAAAGTTCAGCACAAATTTGTCTTAAATGCAAGCCTTATTAAATACCAGAGAAGGCTTAATATTTATATTTATCTTCTCGAATGGAATACTACAGAACGTGGCCTCTGTGGTTAGTATTGCATAGTACACTGCAAGACCTAGGATTGACGTGAACAATGGTATCTTATACAGTAATAGTTCTTCAGGATAATGAGGATTCCAGAGCACTTTTCCGGCACTGACTGCAACACTTCCTCAAGTAATTTGACAAGGAACAATGTTAAAGTTTCTAGATCGTTTGCCTGTCTTTCTTCAGAAACAAAACGTGAGAACCAAGAGCGTCGGAAATCAATGGAATGTTTCAATCCGATAGAAAGCCCTCATCTTTGAGCAGGTTTCGTGGGAATAATTCTTTGGGGTACGTGGAGAAAGTGAAGAGCAGACGACGCGAGGGAAACATTTTCTTCCCGGAAAGAAAAGCGAGAGGCGAGGGCCGACGACCGGAGAAAATAACGTCTTCCTGTTACGTCAAACTTAATTACGACGAAGCTCGTGTCGTTTCGAAGTTTTCACGACATTGGCGTCGTGTGTGCATTAATGACGTGGATGCATGCGTGACATGCGTTGAAGTCTCCACTTTCTCGTTATTTGGTAAGTAATTTGCGACAGCAGCTGTCGAGGATAATTGATTTTTGTCAACATCTTCATTTTTAATTTTTAAACTTGACCCACGAACCATTGATGACTTTGCTCAAATATTAACTGTATAACATGCTACTTTATATTTACATAATTAGAATTATATAAATTATTCAAGCATTTTAGGTAGGACCACTTATACTTACATTTCGTACGTCTTGCCAAATAATAAATTTTGTGGATTTTCCATGATTTGAGTTATCTACTGATAAGCTGAACTCTTCGAATTCGTTCCTACTCCGACCTGAAAAAGATCCTTCAACTCAAACAACAAAAACAGTGCAGCTAACCGCACTGCGTGAATACGAATACGATAACCAAACGAACTATTCTTTTTCATAACTATATATAGCTGCAAATGTTCAATGTTCCCGTCATGAGTGGCCTTCTACCTGAACAAGAGGAATATCGCGAGCGGTAGGAGCACAGCTAATCATTGTCCTATAAGGATGCATTGCAGCCTAGGGCATGAAGAACTTGTTGTCGGGATGCTCAAATTTGGTAAAGTCACACGGGATGCACAAAATTCGGTAAAGTCACACGGGATGCACAAAATTCGGTTAAGTCGCACGGGATGCACAAAATTTGGTAAATTAAAACTCGGTAAAGTCACACGTAAACACACCCGCAACAGCAATGAATCAAAATGCGGTATTTGCTCGCTATAGAGAGATATCTTCTGCTCCTATAATGAATGAAAAATATGCCAATGCGTTGCATTATATAACATGCATCATGGGTTTATCGAAACGTTTATGAGCCTGGCTTGCATTTAATGTTTCAACTCGATATTCTTTCCTTAATTTAAACTATCAGTTGTCCTAAAAAATTGAAATTTCTAAAAGATGAGAAGTAGAGCATGTTTATAATTATAATCCATTCATTCGAACCAGAAAAAAAATAATTTTATTTACCAGCCGCTTTGTTTCAACGAATTTACAGCTATCGAACATTTTTATAACGTCTGGAGGACAATTTTCCTCAAATCAAACTTAACGCGCAAGTTATTATGTATGCTGCATGTGTATATGAACCAACTGTCCCACAGCCAAAGAGGCAACCGAGCACTCAGCAACACATGTTCTTTACATTAACTTTCTAACGAAGTAAAAGTTGCCGCAGTTCGTATGCAGTCTTCCTCTTCTCGCATGCCCATTTGCCTGTGCTAAAAAGCACAGCCGGTGAAAGCTTCCTCGAACTTTTCAGGTGGAGAGGAAAGCGGTCGCTGCAGGAGGATGGGCACACAACGAGCCTTCCTTGTTTGCGCAGCCCACACGGATCTCTGCATCGGGAGCACTGCAGCTTTCTTTTCGCCTAATATACTGCTAACCTGGGGTGTTTGTAGGCCAGTTTAGACAAACTGAGAATAGTCGGATTTGATTGATGACTATTGATTACACTGAATAGATTAGCAGTAGCAATTGTTTAGATTACCAGCAAACTATTAGTGAATATCAGGGTGAATACTATGAGAAAATATGCATGCTGCTGTGCAGTTTTGCTGTCAAAAACATTCGTAAGTACGTTTCTCACAATGTTCAATCATACTCATTGTCCGCACAAGGTCAATGACTTGATCGGACTTGATCGTGTACGATCAAGTCCGACCAAAGAAAAAATTTCGTCTTCTAGTTTCTTTTTTTTTTCGAGTTGATTTCCCTTCCTTGCAGCTTAGAATTCCACAAGAAGACTATTCCGGTAAAACGACATTTTTGCTTAGCTCATCTTCACGAGGAGAAGAAGAGGCTCTACGAAGCTGTGCAAGTTTTTGCGGACGATGTGCTGTGCCCTGCAGGAGACGTGGACAAAACCGGATGGAGGATGTTGCTCAAGCTGCTGGAGAAAGTGGCCGTCGCGAGCGATAAGCCAGACTGGAATGCCAAATAGCCCACGCTGCGTTCATAGACTGAACTCATTTATCCTTTCCTATACCATAATATAAAGGATTGTATAATATGTAAGATTGTAAGATCCTGAAAAGTGCTCCTACAGGAAATGAAATGATCGAAACGGAATTTTTTGTGTGAGATGATAGCTTTCGTCGGACAGCCCTTGGATATAATTAGCCACTCAATAAACTGCCAGCATTTCACGTTAATAAGTTCAATGCTGCAAATCAATGTAAAAATTTTCGTTTTTGAATGGAATGTTTGCATTAAAAAATGTTATGACTCCATGACCAGCGGATATAATATTAAGTTACGATTACGAAAGAGTGTTCAACTTTAAAGGCAGCTGTGATGATTGACGAAAGTCGACGACCTCAATGAAATTAATGAGACTGTCCAAATATCAATGCACATCTAGCCTTTGTATGCAATGTGGATCATCATAACCCGGTTTGGCTCGGTTAAAGGACGTATCAGTGCTACATCTGCCTGCTCTTGCTGTGCGTAAGGAAGTGTTTTACTTTTTAGGCAATAAGACTCATTCATTTTTAATGCCGGTTCATTCCGGTCCAGCTCACTTGGACGACTTGTTTTAGCACTGGGTCAAAAGTGAGCCGCGTTGAAGCTTTCCATGCCATAGAGGTCGGCTCGTTCTCAGACCTGCTGAATGATACATGGCGCATTGGTTGCTCGTTTTAACTGTAATTTCAGAAGCAATTGTTAAAATTTATTGTCTAATTAATTTGTTAACGTTTATACGCTTATCGTTTGTCTCGTGTTAAGAGGCAAAGTCGACTCTCGTTAGCTCTATCTTAAAGACTATTGCTTTAACCTTACCGGAGTGAAGACCTCCTGCTCAAACAGTATTATTACTTTTGTTAACTCTTGCTTATCTGTTACTTAATTTGAGTTTGTGCGAGTGTGTTTTCATTTTATTTTGTTCCATTTAAATGCATGTTAGAACTTCTGTGTTTCGCTCGTTTAATTAAGATCTTGCTTAACCGGCTTTACGCCAGTGCTTGGAACCCGTAGGGTTATTGGCTCCTTGGAGCTTCGGTGTTAACCGTTTATGTCACATGCCTTAGTGCTGTGAATTAACTTGCATGCTTGCATGCGCTTAACTCCTTTAAGTACGAGCGAACACTCCTAATACTGTTTTCACTATTTTCTTTCTTATAGTTCTCTACATGAGAACTCTTATCTAGGATTCCTCAACGGAAACAAATAGATAAGAATTATATTGAATTTCGGTACAATTGGAAATTAAAGAACAAAGAGCGTTGAAACTTTTATTGTTGTGGTTCCGAAAAGAGAATTGGTTCGCAGAACGAAGCCAGGAGGAGGGTTAAGTTCTGATGAATACATGTTCCAAGTTTTATTGAGCTGCGTTCATTAGTTTGGGAGATATTACTTGATAATTTAATTTGGAGATTGGTCGTGAGACCGGCCACGAGTCCGGGCCGTAAATTTGTCCGAGACGTCCTAGGTTTCTAGTACTGAAACAGTTACAACAGCTGAAAAACATATTGGTTCACTAAAAGGTGTTTTATTTGTGAAATACACATTTGTGTTTAACCTTTATCTTTTAAAATTGCATCATACTAAATTTTGTTGGTTTTCTGTCTTATTCAGATAAGAATCCACCTAACCGCCTCTACTTGGTCTTCGACTCTGCCGTTTCTGTTTTATTTGAGCTGAACTACTTGCTTCATTAATACGTTCTGTTGCCACCGGCAATATATGGTGAGAATTGGAGAGAGAGACATATTCACCCTGAAAAAGTGACTATTTCAACTGAAATTAAATATTGTGTTCTGAACTCCTATCGTTCGAACTTGTACTTATTTGAGAACTTATTCTTCTACAGTGCACGAGTTCCTCATCGCACTTCGTGCTTTTCATTACCTCCTGGCTTCGTACTGCGAACCTATTCTCTTTTCGGAACCACAACAATAAAAGTTTCAACGCTCTCTTTGTTCTTTAATTTCCAATTGTACCGAAATTCAATACAATCTTAAGCGCTGTCGATGAGGAGGTAAGGAATTTATTACTGCAGTCTATAATATATCATTTCAGAAGTTATTCATCTGTCGTACTAATTATTTGTTACGTATTCAAATAATCAGCTTTTATTGAAGGTCATTAATTCTCATTGTGTTCAATCCAAGTGCGGTAATTAAAATTTCCGCACGATTTCATAGGCACTGGACAAAGTCTACTTAAATCCCTCACACTTCTATTTTTTATTGTTCGACGAACGCACTCGAGACGAAAAAATATTTAGGTATCGTCAACGGTTTAGACGTCGAAAAGTTTCAAACCATCATAAGTTGATCTGTCAAAAAGTATGCCCCCAAAAAAGTTGCCCTACCAGAAAATTAACTCCCGCTGACAGCGTTCGAGATGCCTGTTCAAATACGGCCTATATTCGAGTTGTGACAGAATAGCTAGGAGTGCTGCCAACGGTACTTTCATCTCAGGTATGAATTCAAAATTCATTGCCACATATACACTGCCATGAATTGTTGGCCCTGTATTTATTGCTAGGTAATAGAGTTAAAATCTCAAAATAAATACATTATGTATGTGATGGAATGAAATAATTTTACCCAGACGTATGATTAGTTCATAAACATCAAGGTATATGATCAATTAAGAACATTATGATGAATTAAGATGATGAACATAATATGCTTTTATTATCATAAATTAAGAGAATTGGGTTTAGTAACATGAATGATTGCATTTCATGAACACAATATGCAGAAACTATATATATACACTCTAATGTATACACTCTAATATGCTTATGAAATAGCATATATACACTCTAATATGCTATCATATTCCTTGAATTTCTCTTGCAGAATAAAATTTTTTCAAATCGATGAAGGATAAATAAATGATTCGATAACAAAACTTAGAGTGAAACATGTCCCCTTCTTGCCCTACATATGTTCCCATGCCCTGAATTATGGTGTGCATTCAAATCTGAATCCAGTGAAGATCATTGAACAAAAATAAATCTTCAGTGCACTGGAAATATTGGTACAGACTACGAATGGATGGGTGGTCATGCGTTATGACAATAAACAAAACCACGCACCATGCTTTGTTTTGGAGGCTCGTCGTTGCATGGAGAAATTATGTCGTGAACAACCAATTGCTGCTCTAGAACCGTCAGCACGCTTCACTAAAATATCATCTGTCCATTCACACAAATTCATTGTTATAGATAATGACTATCATGGATAAGGAGAGCACTGACCTGCAGTTGCAACGCAGTCAGTCGCTTGAATATCGTTGCAGACAGAAAGGAAGGCTGTGTATCGTAGACAGGAGGAGTGTGTAGTGAACCTCTTCACTCACTGTCTCAGTTCAGACTGTTGTCCCTGCCTGACACTACCGGCCCTCTACGCCGCGTAGGTCGCCACCCCCTTCCATAATCCGCCTGCACCGCCGTGCGGGCCGCCCCCTTCCTTGGTCGCCTCCGGTCTTGCATGCTGTCTCTGCTGCAGCCACATGAGGTCAACCTTTGCGACCACTGCATTCTAAAATTTCGTAAAGAAAACATTTGACAGTAATTCTGAGAATCTATTCTCAAATATATTTTATTATATGAATCATACGTTTATTGAGAGGCAAAATAATCGAATTCGTGTTCACACATGTCATGCTTTCCACACATGTTTCGTGCACTTTCGCTCTTGGCTGAACGGTTTGGTTTCTATGCTGAAACGCTGGCATCTTTGGCACGAATGCGTAATTGAATTAATTTAATTAATTGAGCAATTACTGCAACGTAGTGGTGGTTAATCAGTTGAGAATGCGCGAGTGAGAAAGAACTTGTATGAATGATTCTTCTTGACGGCAACCAAAATAAAACGAAAATTGTAACTTTGTAATTAGCGAGTGAAAATGGATGATTCCGTTCGAAACACTATAGTTGCTATGATAGTTTTCACTTCTCACTAGAAATGCATAGGTTTTATAGACCTCTACGCACTTATGAAGCAAAATTATAATTTTAAATAAATTTACTGCAATACACGCAAATGAAAATTTTGTATAATCCATAGCATGTTTGGAAATATTATGCGTTTAAATTTATGCTAGGTTAAGATCTTAACCGGAACTCTGGCGGACTAGGTTGAAGGGTCGTAAAAATCAAAGCCAAATAATTAACTAACAGAAGAGAAGAAATATTCAAAATAATATTTTGAAATCAATTCAAAAAGGAATAATAATTGAGAACATTTTCAGTGAAAATACCAGCTTTCGAATTAGTTGGGTGAAATATAAACATTTTAATTATTCAAGGAAATTTTAGTGCTAAAATTATTGTTTTGTGATTAAAAATAAGTCATAATTCGAAGACTTTATTTCAGTCATAATTTCGTAGCCTATATAATATGTACACCATTAATCTTAAGCTAACCCCTCAATATTAATTTATTCAATAGGTACAAATAGGTCGTTTGATTTCCACTTCGTCACTATCACTTTCAGTGAAAAGGATTTCTGGATCATCCAGCATTTTTGAGTTGAGGGCCCAACTGAAGACGTATGCATATATATATACTTTCATGCAATACCTTAGTTCGTAGAGTATCAAATTATTATTTTAAATTCTAGCAAACGTTTCTCATTTGGGTCAATTTAATATACTTACACCCCCCTTCTTAAATTTTGTCGTTCTTTTAATATTTCAGCTAAATTCCCAGCAAACCAAGTCTGGTGATTTGAGAAAATTCACTTAAAATTGTAGTTTTTCGGACTAAAAATCCTTATACTTTATTGTCTAAGAAAATGTAAAAAGAGGACATTCAACACTTGTAACTGCAGAAGCAGTGATCAAAGTTTTCGCCTTTAGTAATTCAATAAATAATACATGGAAGGAGAGGGAGCATAGTATGATTTAATAAATTTCAAACAAAAATTTTGACGTACCCTTAGTTCGTACAAAATAAAAGATCAAGGACACTGGCACCGTGAGTAAAAGCGAGCGCCATGAAAGCAGCCATGAGTCTCATAGGAAGAATAGTGCATGATATACTGTATACGAGTGACAGTGAATAGAAAATTTCAGCTGCGCTACGGACTTCATTTCCTGGAATTTAAATGGAGTCGAGAATGCGGAGGCTTGGCAGGATGCTCACCCATCGTGGCCTGTTGGACCCATTCGTAATTGATATTATTTGGATTTTATTTTTTGTTACTGTTAATACATGAAGATGTTTATTAAATATGCTGATGATTTTTATGTGAGCCGAGCAGTGGTATAAACATTAGCCGCTATATACGATGCCACGATCAATCATAATGTTACGGCATCAAGTATGTGTAGAATACGAATTTTCAGTATGCAATTTTTTGTAAGATCAGGTTGTTAGCGCCAAATCTGGTTTTTGCGCTCGAGCGCATAACTGTTCTGATGATGAAAGATTGGCAGGAATTAATATCATGTCTTCAATTAATATCACCTGAATATCGACGGGACAGAAATAATTCCAGGCGAGCATATAACTCATCCGCCTGATGATATAGAAGAAACTCCAGTTTTGAAAAGATCCTGTCTAAAGGCCGCTGTATAAATCTCCTGTAAACAATGCACGAAAGCTACAAGAATCGGCAACAGGCCATGGGCTTATTTCTTCAGCGCCGAAACTACTATAATATACCATTAAGAACGTGCCAATACTACACACATCCTTGCACGGAACCAAGGCTCCACAGGTGTCGAATCTTCCCAAAGAGATACTTCACAGATCCTGACCCCGCAGGCTTATCGTATAAACATGTCAAGTTTCTCCGACGTCCGTATAATATCGTACGAATATTATGTCAAGTTTCTCCGCTGATATATCTACCTGTACATGACGAGCCTTACAAATAGACTTAAGCCTGCAATGACCACGATGTCCTCAGCGACTCACCTACTTACGTGACCAAATAGCTGCTTGAGGAGAGAAAGTCAATGCCGGGGCTATTTTTCTAGGTATTAGAATTAAAACATAGATTTGATTTATTTTTCCTGAAGTTCATATACACACTTTTCATGATGCATTTTACTCATTTCGTTTATATTATACAGTTTGGCAGCTAATTCTGAGAGGGATGTGTAAATCAAGCGAGATTAAAATCAATTTACGTAGAAAGATACCATTTTCGCTTGTTAATTTATGTTAGATTTTAATTTATTCATAAGGAGACATGAAATTGAAGAACACCGTAATACGATCATGATTATCTGCAATATAACTTCATAGAATACGTATGTCTGTTGGAACCTGATTTAATTTAGGATTCCCAATAAAGTATCAAAAATTACAAACAAGTCTTCTCTACATGAGTAAATCTTTCATGACGATTTGATAAGCAAATAATTCATAGCTGATCAAATCGCTACAACTACTAGCTTTGATGAATGTAATCTATAAATTTAATCCAAGTGACATAATATTTTATTCTGCCAAGCTTGTTTTATAAGAAGTTATGTCAGTTTGCGTGTGGTTTAGTATTACTGATGCCGCAGGAAAGTTGGGTGAAGTTCCGTGCGTTCCGGCGACCACGTGGACGCTGAGCTGGTGCACAGTAGGCGCGACTTTGGCAAATATCAAACATTTTTATGTTGAGTGACTTGTTTAGGCTCGATCAGCCGTTGCCGGCGACGCACGTGGACTGAAGAAGCTGGTCCACGTGGCCCCTGAACAGCACAGGTTGTGGTTGGTGTAACCTAACCAGGTGTCTGACGTTGAAATAACGTTAATTGAACGTCTTTTCGACGTCGTTTGCCTATAGCGTCCAAACAGGTGAGATATAAACTCACGCTATGATTTGTACAACGCCAAAGTTAAGTCACAGGAAGGATAAGATAACAAATACGTATCAATGGAAGCAAGAATCACAAACACATTTAAATACCAATTATATATACATATACCATGCATATATCATACATCATATATCATATATCATATATCATACATCATATATCATATATCATATATCATATATCATATATCATATATCATATATCATATATCATATATCATATATCATATACCATATACCATAAATTCCGGGGCTGTTAATGGATTTAGTATTAATATCCATAATTAAGAGGAATCCAAATTATTTGTCTTGGATACACATTTGCCAGCTGCGCTTCAATGAGGAGAAGGGGCGGGCCGGGTAGTATAAAAATTAAAATGATAATAATAACAACCTGTTGATTGGCTTACATGGGTAATAATGCGTTAGCAATTGCCATTTAATTCAGATACCTAAGTAACATTGCTTCATCAATCATCCTTTTCATTCAAATACCTGAGTAATATTGCGTAGTCAATCAGTATCGCCAAGATACCTGAGTAATACTCGCGTCGTCAATCACCTTTTCATTCAGATACCTAAGTAACATTGCTTCATCAATCACCTTTTCATTCACATTCCCAAGTAACATTGCTTCACCAATCATCTCTCCATTCACATTCCTAAGTAACATTGCTTCATCAATCACCTTTTCATTCACATACCTAAGTAACATTGCGTAAGGACACAAATAAGCTTGTGTTGGTGCGTGAGCGGCCTGTACGGTCCCGGACGCTGAAGCAGCTCACCCGGCACCCGGATGGGGCGGGTGGAATGCAGCGCGACTTTCACCCGCTGAGCGCCGCCGCATCCGCGTCGCGGGACAGCCTGGCTCAGGGAAAGCTGCGCTCACCGGCCAGCGTCGTGGCCATTCCTTTAAGGCCATTCCTTTCAGGAAAATGTTAATTATATTGTTATTAATTTAATTGTTATTACATTATAACTGATCTTCGAGGCCTCTTGAAAATCTTTACATTTACCAACGCCTTGTTTATTTGATTGTTTATTATAATTTATATATACAATTCATGTTATATTATAAGTGATACCTCGATTATTTACTCTACAGTTCCACACTATATTCACGATTTTCAAGTGTATTATGGTTTCACCTTTTAATCAATGGTTTAGTTGAATTGCCGCATACGAGAAGATTGTTAAAAAACTTATATTTATTGAATGTCACAATTTATTTTATGAAATGTCGCAATAACCTATTAAATGTCTCAAATTAATATTATTAAATATCACAAGAACTGAAATCGCTGAGCACTGAAATACGGTTTAGGGATAGTGTGCTTTAAGAATACAGGAGCTGCGACCAGAGTTAAGGTCTCTAGCACGTATTATAAATCTACAGATAATACCAATATAATTTCTAATAGTAGTAAATGCAGATAAATATGGCCGTGAATAATGTTAGATATAGCCGTGAATATTGCCGTGAATGAAGATAAATATAGCAGTGAAGGATGATTAATTCAGCTGAGATTGTAGATAA